TACTTGTTTGATAGACACCTGCCAATCAACCAAATATTTATGAGATAATTAACACCTGAATATCTCAACTGTACTTGTTTGATAGACACCTGCCAGTCAACCAAATATTTATGAGATAATTAACACCTGAATATCTCAACTGTACTTGTTTGATAGACACCTGCCAATCAATCAAATATTTATGAGATACATTAACACCTGAATATCTTAACTGTACTTGTTTGATGGACACCTGCCAATCAACCAAATATTCATGATACATTAACACCTGAATATCTCAACTGTACTTGTTTGATAGACACCTGCCAATCAATCAAATATTTATGAGATACATTAACACCTGAATATCTCAACTGTACTTGTCTGACAGACACCTGCCAATCAACTGACATTTTATCCTAATAAATATTTATGAGATACATTAGCACCTGAATATCTCAACTGTAGAGACACTAGTCTTGGTAGATTGGCTTCCAGCTCATCAATAGAATGACTTGTGACTTGTGCACACATACTAAGATCCAGATGCGTCAGATTCTTACTGCGTTTCGCGAGGGTCAGAATACTCAGATCAGTGATAAGGTCACATTTTGATATGTCTAGAGATGATAGGTGTGGTAGGTTCTGAGCTACAGCAACCATGCCGACATCGGTTACCAGGTTGCAGCCATTAAGCGACAGGCACTCAAGGCTACACATGTGCTTTGCGATGCCTTGGAGGGAGACGTCAGTAATCTATGGGTTATATATATTGATAATCTTATGACAAAATTTGGGGCTTTTTCCTGCTTTTCATTGTTCATTATCTATGCTTTTGAGGGGGGGGGGGGGGGGGGCAGGAAACTCAACTCATTACTAAATATGCACAACAAAAATCTCATCACTTACTATATACTCAGCACCCCACATTTTTTAACTCACTTCTCAGTGTTTGGGAATCAGATGAAACACTCTTTTCCATGCTTGATATGTTATTTCAACCACCTACTTACCTCAATACACATATTTATGTTCAATGTCCTAAGATTCTTGAGTTGATAGATACTAGTCAGTCCATTATCTGTGATTCTAGTACAGTGACTGATATCCAAGGAACACAGCTTAGTGAGTAGGCCGAGACCACTGGAAGACACGCCCTCCTCGAAAAATAGATTGAATAAATTATATCAGCATTAATATATATAGTCAAGATTGTTTTTTCTTTCTTTTATAAGCACTTTACAAAACAATCACTGAAAGTCAGGGCACGACTAATGCAAAAGATCCAGCCCTAAAAAACCTCTGGGATGATCCAAGTCAGGGCACAGCTAACTTACATATCGACCCCGAAACAACCTCTGGGTTGATCTAAGTCAGAGCACGGCTAACTCAAAGATCGAACCCTAAAAACAACCTCTGGGCTGATCTAAGTCAGAGCACGGCTAACTCACA